TAAAATTAGGCTCTTGTGACTTCTGGAGAATCTTTAATAGTATCAATAATAAGGGCAAGTCTGTAATTCCACCTCTTTTGTATGGTTTAGACTTCGTCACCTCACCTAAAGACAAAGCTGAATTGTTTGCTAAGAACTTTTTATCAATATCATCTCTTGATTCCACTAGTTGAGTTCTACCTGATATAGCTGTCAAACAGGTTGATTTATTGCTTGACATCCGTATCACTCCAGCTACTGTATCTAAAGTGATTTCCTGCTTAGACTCTTCTACAGCTTGCAGCCCGGACAACATACCTGTTATAGTCTTGCAGAAGTGTTCTCCGGAGCTGTCGTCTATCCTTTCAAAACTATTAACAAGTGCTTATCTGAGTCTTGTTTTCCAGCCTGCTGGAAAGCAGCATCTGTTATCCCTATTTTTGAAAATTCTGTAGAGCGATCTGATTCGTCTAACTACTGTCCTATTAGTCTTCTTTCTATCATAAGCAAGGTTTTTGAATCTTTAATTAACAAACACTTAATCTCTCATCTTGAATCTCATAACCTACTTTCTGATGGATTTCGATCTTGTTCTACGGCTGATTTGCTAACAGTAATAACAGATAGGTTTTATTGCACATTAGATAAAGGTGGAGAGGTTAAGGCCATCGCTCTTTACATTTCTAAAGCGTTTGATAAAGTTTGGCATGCTGGTCTTCTCCATAAGCTTTCTTCTTACGGTGTATCTGGAAACATAATTAAGATTATTGATTCCTTCCTTTCCAATCGTAGTATAAAAGTTGTCCTTGATGGACAGCACTCTTCTTCTTATTCTGTAACCTCAGGGGTTCCTCAAGGTTCAATCCTTGGCCCTATTCTTTTTTTAATTTACATTAACGATCTTCTAGATATTCTCACATCTAAGATGGCATTGTTCGCTGATGATTCTACCATTTATTCTTGTCACAATGAGAAGCCAACTCCCTCTGATTGCTTGCAGGAGGCATCTGAGCTTGAAAAGGATCTAACTTCTGCTACGGCATGGGGCTCACAGTGGCTGGTGAACTTTAATTCAGATAAAACTCAATTATTTTTGGCCAATCGTTATCACAATAGTTTAGACCTTCTTATATTTATGAACGGTAATGTACTCGATGAGTCTCCTACCCTTCATCCTCTAGGATTAACTTTTACTTCTGATCTTTCTTGGAAACCTTATATCAAATCCGTTGCAAAATTAGCATCTGCTAAAGTTGCTTCTCTTTATTGAGCTCGTCACTTTCTTACTCTGGATTCTATTCTCTATCTCTATAAATCTCAAATCCGGCCTTGTATGGAATACTGTTGCCATATCTGGGGCAGATCTTTTAATGATGCCCTTTCTCTTTTAGACAAGGTGCAAAAACACATTGTAAACATAGTTGGACCTGCTCTTGCACCCAACCTTCAACCTCTGTCACATCGTCGTAATGTTGTTTCTCTTTTTCTTTTCTACAAATACTATAATGGGTACTGCTCGAAAGAGCTAGCGTCTCTTGTGCCATCTACTAAAATTCATTCTCGTGTTACTCGTCATGCAATTAAGTCTCATCCTTTTTCTGTTACTGTTCCTAAGTGCTCCAAAAACTCTTATTCGTCTAGTTTTTTTCCTCGAACATCAGTTCTTTGGAATTGGCTGCCTTCCATTTGTTATATAGTTAAACCCCCAAAGCAACACTGATGACAGCGTACTTAACCACTTAGCTATCAATCAAATGCATTTAGCAAAAAAACAAACCTAATTACAATTCTCTCATAAGTTCTATGTATGCGGAAAAAGTTTTTTTCACTTCAATACAAAAGTCCAGTGAAAAAATGTTATTTTTTTTGCTCTTAAAGTTTTTTTTTGGAACAAAATTATTTTACTAAATAGTATTGAAGTAAATAAGGAATTTGTATAGAAATAATCGGTGTGGAATAGGTATGTATAGAAATAGTAGGTTTGGTAAAGACCCGTATTTACGGATCCAGAAAGCTAGGATATATAAGGAAAAAGTATAAAAAAGTTTGGTTTAGAATAGACTTACAAAGACCCGTATTTTTATGGGTCCAATCTCAGCTAGTAAGAAAATAATTGGACAAGATTATTATTAATAAGATATTGTGACTACAAGAAATTGGAAGCATCAATCGACCAAGGTTGTTGTCAAATGCAAGAAGATCTTGTAAAATTATCGGCAGTAATACAACAAGCAATTTCAGTATGTTTAAAAACAGCAGGAGTAATTGAAAAGCAAGGAAATCATATGCGGTAGTGGTGTAGTGGTAGAGCGCTCGCTTCATAAACAAGTGGTTCCGAGTTCGATCCCCACCACGTCCCTGGTAGTACCGCGCTCAACTCGTTTCTCCGCGCAGCAGCCTTGCTCGTCAAGGTTCGTGTTTCGGAGTTATAGAGTTGAGAGAGGGTTATAACCACAAATAAGTAGCCTCCTCGTCTGTAGTGGCCTTCTCGGCCTTGAGGAGGTGAATTAAAATAAAAATAAAAAAAAAAAAAAAAATCAGATGTTACATGAGTTAAAACCGAGAGACATTGAAAGACAGTTTTGCATGTCAGAAATGCTGCTCAAACAGTATGAATGTTATTTTTGCATCAGATATCATTGGGGATGAAAAATGGATTTATTATGATAATCCAAAATGGAAAAAAAAACATATGTTTGACCTGGCACATCAGGGCCGTTGCAACTAAAGCAAAATATTGATGGTGCAAAGGTAATGCTTTTAGTAGTAGATCTAAAAGGTCTATTATCTTATAAGCTGATAAATTTGGGGTAGATGATCACTGGGGACTTCTACCAATCTCAATCGATCTATTTGGTGAGAGCAATCATCTAATAACAGCCAGAAACAACAGAAAACAGGGACCAGACATAAGACCATAGTTTTCCACCATTACAACGCTGGGTCACATGTTGCAAAATCATTTGAAAAATATTTTAAAATAGCGGAAGTTTTGCCTCACCAGCTATATAGTCCAGACCTTGCCCTGTCTGACTACCTTTGTTTTGATCAATACAGAACTCATTGGAATAGGCTTCACTTTAAAACATGGTATCCGAATTGGCTTGATTCTCTTTAGGCCTCAAAAGACGAACAGTTCTTATGAAATTGCCAGAAAGAATAAGAAATAGTTTCAGATGTTTTGAATAAAGTATTAATTCATTTTGTAATTGAAATGAATCCATTTTTTGAACCAAAAAATCCAGAAGGTTATTTGTAGCCCCAATAAAAATAAAAAACAAAAATTTAAAAATTATAGCAATAATCTATTAATCTATGTTTTTAATCAAAATTAATAAAATAATCACATGAAAAAACTTAAAATACTGACAGCAAATAGAATGTTTTGAATGCTAAGCTAAGAAATCTGCATTTTTTTCACTTGAAAACTTGTTCCAAGAAAAACTTAAAGTTCTCAATCAATTTGATTCATTTTTTCTTTGTTTATTTTTAAAATGCTTTGTCCAACTTAAATAAATTTTTTTAATTCTTTTTATCAAAAAGCTTATTAAAACAATTCAAATTATCATACTTTGATAAAGTGCTCTAATTGCTAAATTAAAATCCAAAATTTAGATTATTTTTATTTTAGATTTTTTTCATCAAAATTTTTTATAGAACAGTTTTCAATTCTAGCAGTAACTGAATATTTGAGTATTTATCATTTCAAGACATTTTTTTTTAAAAACAGTTTTTTGAGCTAGCGTCTCTTGTGCCATCTACTAAAATTCAGTCTCTTGTTACTTGTCATTCAATTAAGTCTCACCTTTTTTCTTTTACTGTTTTTAAGTGCTCCAAAAACTCTTATTTGTCTAGTTTTTTTCCTCGAACATCAGTTCTTTGGAATTCGCTTCCTTCATCTTGCTTTCCTGATTCATATAATTTGCAATCTTTTAAGTCGTCTGTCAATCGTTATCTTGCTCTACAATCTTCAACTTTTCTCTTTCAGTAACTTCCAATTCTAATTATTGGTTGCTTGCAGCCAATAATTTTGTTGGAAGCGAAGTTGTTTAAAAAAAAACAAAAAATAAAGCATTAATCAATATTTGTGTGTTAACCTGTTATCTGCTATCTTTGTGTATTATCTGTTACCTGCTATCTTTGTGTATTAACCTGTTATCTGTTATTTTTGTGTATTAACCTGTTAACTGTTATCTTTGTGTATTAACTTGTTATCTGTTATCTTTGTGTATTATCTATTACATGTTATTAAATTTCAGCAAAAATTAAATCAAAATTTTGTTTATATTTAAAGCAGTAGTAAATTCAAAATTTTTTAATATTTTATTGCTGTTATCTTTACAAATAAAATTACTATAATTAGGGTTCCCATTTCTCAAGTTCTTTAAAAACTTTTAAAAGTCTAAAATTATCTTAAAAGGATTGAAAACTTTGCTGCCCTGTTATATTAAAGTGAACTAACTGTTGTATTGAAGTGAATGGACTGTTGTATTGAAGTGAATAGACTGTTGTATCGAAATGAATGGACTGTTGTATTGAAGTGAATTAACTGTTGTAGTAATAAAGTAAATAATATAACAAGGAAAAATAATTTTTTTAATAATTAGCTTTTTTCATAATTTTTTCATAAATACTGTTCTCTGTAAATTTATTTGTGATTACTATTGATTTTGAAATTTCTTTTTTTTACTTTCTACTTTGCAAGAGTTTCTTGTATTGTTACTATTTTTATCTGTTTACTTAATTTTTTAGTTATTTTTTTTTTAGTTATTATTGGTGTAATTTTTTAGTTTGTTTATTTATCTTATTTTTTGTTTAGTATTTGTTTACGTTTTTTTTGTTTACATTTTGTTAATATTGTTTGTTTTTTGTTTTAGGTGATATATTATTATATTATTTATATAGTTTTCATTTTGATTATAAATGTTATAAAAATTAATTAATCATTGTCAATTTCTTTATAATAACTGCTTTTTATTGATTATAGCTTAGTGTGTTTTTCTTTTCTCACTTTTGTTTAGGGAGACGTAAGAAGTGACCATTTTGCTTTTATATGTAGAGATAATGGAAAACATGTTTGTTATATTTTCCAAGGAGAATCTGAAAATAAGGTTTTGTTAATGTTTTGAATATTTTATTTGAATTATTTTAAACTTTTTGAGCAACTTTACTTTTTTTATTCTTTTTTTTATTACAAGCTGATTCCATATTAATAGATTACACATAAACAGCAATAACAACAAAAAAAAGAAAAAAATACCTATTATATATTTAATAAATTTTGATATAAAAACAAATAAAAACTAGTATTGAGATTTTGAGTAGAGTTAACAACCTTTTTTTTTCCATTTATTTTTATACTTAAAAGTTGACAACATTATATACTCTAACTTTACATGCTGTTAAGTGCATGTAAAAATTTTTCTCTGCTCAGGACTTGGTTTTTAAAACCTGAATTTAACTAAATTTAACTGAATTTAACTAAATTTAACTAAATTTAACTGAAATTTAAAATATATTTAAACCATATGTGTACCCTGAATTTAACTGAAAGTTGAATTTAGATTTTTAATGTAAAGTGTAACTCAAACCCAAGTTTTTTAAAATTTAATTTAAGCATGAAATTTTAAAGTACCATTTACTGAATAATATTTACAGAATTCAAAGTTATTTAATTTTTTTACAAATTGTAGAATGTAGAAAAAAATCAAAGTTGAGAGAGTGAATTTTTTTGCACTTTAGGGCAGTTCTGGACAATAGACAAGCTGCTTTAAATTGTTGCTGTTTAGATTGGTTCAATTTTAAATAAATATCTGGTCAGTTTCAGAATAAGACTTGCTCAGAAGATGCTGATGAATGGCATATATTTTCCTTACAATTTATGTTGTTTCTAATATTGTGGTGTCATACTCTGCCACCACTGTAAAACAATCTACCAATTGAGATTTATTTTAGTCAAAAAAAAAGCATATGTAAGCGTAGTCACAGTTAAGAGTTTGTTAGCCACAGTTAGGTATAAATCTAAGTTTATAAAAGCACTCACATTGTAGATAAATTAAAATAACAATGTTAATATGAATGAAAAATTAAAACGACTTTAAAGATGAAATTTAACAAATTACAGGTTCATAAAAATATGAAACAAGCAAGTTAATGTGAGTTGAAATTTAAAACTGTTTAAGTTAAATGTGAGTTTAAGTAAGTTAATGTGAGTTAAAATTTAAAAGTAAAGTTAATCAAAGATCAAAAATTACCTGTGAAGATTAAAGATGTCTATGATCATTTGGTGGACCGCGGGTGCTTTGGTGTTTCATTTGATGTTTTGTCAGCAGAAATTTTGACAGAATAATCACTGAACTTTTAATATATGGATAAATAAAGATAATAAGATGGATAAATACAATTTAATAAATGATGAGTAAGACTTTTTGCTTAAGGAAGACTTTTCAATTTTTTTGATTATTATAAAACTCTGTAGTTATTATGAACTTTATTGCTACCTTATTGCTACCTCAAAAATAACTAGTTAATACTTTTAATAAATAATAAAAATAATTTTTTAAACAAGAAGGTACAGCATACACAAAGCAAAAACAAGTCTAGAAAAGAATTTTTTTTTAAATAATAATGTTGGGAAGATGTTTAGAACAAATAAAAGATTTATATAATTTATAGAGGTTTATCTAGTTTAAACTCTCTAAATTTTACATTTCTATGAAAAATTCTTTGGCGATTTAAATAAGATATTTTATTATTTTTTAGGTTGATGTATTGATGAAGTCAATGAAACAAGCCTTTTGTGATGCATTAGAAGCATCAGCACATTTGACCTTATGTGAGATATGTCCATTGCAACTTTTTCATAAGTTATGTACAAAACTTGAAGGTAATTAAATATAATGCACTTACTTTATTTTAATTTTTATTTTACCTGTTAAACTGTTGATTATAAATTTTCCAAATGTTTTTCAAAGTTTTAAATGCTCAAGTTATTTTTAGAACTACTAGTTATTTTTAGAAAACTTCATTATGCTACCCAGCTTGTCACATTTAAAGGTTGAAATATGTGACCTTCTATAGTAAAAAAAAAATTATTTCAAAAAAATTATTTGATCATTGAAATAGGAGTAACTAACAGTGCAAAGTATAAGTGATTTTCTATTATTTTATTATTGCTCTATTTTTTTAAGAACATTGATCACTCTATTTTGTAAAACACAAAAGATTATATATATATATATATATATATATATATATATATATATATATATATATATATATATATATATATATATATATAACAGTGTGGAAAATAACAGCCAGTCAACAACCGTCTGAAATGACTAAAATTGCTATTTTGACCTCCCAAAATGAAATCTTTGTTTGACCTTCCAAAAAAATCAGAGTTTTGAAAAACAAGGTTTAACAAATAATCATGATGTATTTTGGAAAATGCATATACTATAAATTTCATAAAATCATTTAAATTTTAAATAAGCATTTAAAATATTTTTATTGTTTATGACATGCTACTTTAATTTTCTTTGTTGATGAATTCATGACGTAAACTATATCTTCTTTTTTTTTTTTTTTGCTTTACTTATTTGAATGATTGAAGTTCTTATTTTATTATTGTTTTAATAAAAACATCTAATATATTATTTTTATAATATAAAAATATAGAATATTTAACTGAGAACATTTTTGCTTTAATGTACTTAGTCGCTATATATATATATATATATATATATATATATATATATATATATATATATATATATATATATATATATATATATATATATATATATATATATATATATATATATATTAAATTTATATTCTAGTTAAGTTGAGTTTTTTCTGCAAATGTAAGAAACATATGAATGATTTATGGGTAAATTTAAAATTTTCTATAATAGGGTTCTTAAAAAAATATGTTTATTAAAATCTCGTTTTATTTAACATTAGTAATTTTTTTATTAGTGTTTCATAAAACAATTTTTCAAGTTTAAATAGTAAGTGCGTTGATAAAGTTTTAATAATAATAAAGTATTCATATTTCTCATTACTTATATCTATTCTACTAATTATTTTGAAAATATTATCAATATTTTATTATTTCCTAATCTTATGAGTCATTATGCATAATACACTTTGTTATATTTTTTAGAAAATTAGTAAGTTAAAAATAAAACAAGTTGGCTGGAATTCACAAAACCCACTGTAATGCTTCACCATCCACTTAAGTTATTGCATCAGTATTGTACTACTACTGAAATTAGTTCATCATCCTGTAATTCCAAATGACTTCATTGTCTTGAATGAAAATACATTTTTAAAACACAATTCAATAGATATTTCGATTTTAGTAATAATTCAATAGATAAGTCGATTTATAATGGAGACTATAAAGTCAAAATGAAGTATGGTGTGTTGGTCAAGCTACAGCTGTGATCACAGGACAAAAGTTGCCATTTAATAGGCAAGTTTTTCAAACTTATTATTTCTTTAAAAATAACAACAATGTAAGAGAAAGTACAGACCTTGTTACAGAACTGGTTCTAGACTTTTGGCAAAGAGCTAGAGTTCCGACAAAGCAACATTATCATGTTATAACACTATTGAGAAATACGAAAAGCTGAAAAAGAATCAAGACCGCAAAACAGAAACTCAGCAAAAAAAGAAGAAACTTTTTCTCAAGAAATCAAAGGACTATTTGATATTGCTCATGAAGATGCTTAAAATTAATCACAATAGAAGAAGGCAAGACGTTTCTTTAACCACAAAAAAAAGGAAGAAAAGACTACATGAGTTCAGTTGATTGTTGTTTACATGAGTTGTTTACATGAGTTTAGTTGATTGTTGTTTACATGAGTTCAGTTAATTGTTGTTTACATGAGTTGTTTACATGAGTTCAGTTGATTGTTCAAACAAGAACAGCATATTTTAGACATAAAAAGACAAACAAAATTTAGAGATACAAAAGAGCTACGTAGAAAAGAAAAAAAAACGTGTTCAACAGTCATAGATCCAGTTTTGACAGAATCCGACTCCTCTCAGGATACTGATAATGAAGTAGATGACTTTGTTTCATAAATAGAAAAAAAACTTAAAAAGAGGGAAGAAACAAATAAAAAGAAAGTAATTACTCCAGCATTTTGTTTAGCTCTTGATTGTTTGAAAATTCCCAATCGTTCTGGTTCCTTGGTTTTGTCTACAATTTGTCAAGGGTTAGGTGCCAATATTGAACATGTTTCAACATTATATGAATCTCTTCGATGTGCGTGTATTGAAAATTGTAAAGAAGTTGCAAAAAGAATTATTTTAGAATTCAAGCCACAAGTTCCATTAACTGTTTATTGCGATGGAAAATTGTTACCTAATTTGAACAGCAGAGATAAAGAAAAAGATGTAGAAAAATGATGTAGAAAAACTGTTGTCAGTCCCAAAACTGGATAGATGCACTGGTGAACAAATGAGTTGCAACAGAACAAGCTTTAAAACATTGGAACATTTCATATGACAAAATTGTGGTACTCTGTTTTGATTATAATTCAAGCAAACTAGTATACATTCAGGTGCTTGTACCTTGCTGGAAAAATTTGAAAGTCTTTATTATACACAGCCTGTCGACACCATGTTCATGAAGTGATTTTATCCCATGTTTACAAAACTTGCTTTTGAGCATCTTCTGGTCCAGATGTTAGAGTAAATTCTGAATCTTGGCTCTTACCTGATGCAGATCTCAAAGTGTATGGTTTGCTTGTACCATCAGAAATAGAATATGTTGATAGCAACAAAATAACCTTGCGATGATTACAAAGAATTTTTGCAATTGTCAATAATTTTTTAGGAAAAAACTCCTCCAGGTCAAGGCGGAATAACCTTTTGTACTTCTGGTGCTATGCACCAAGCACAATGAATGGTAAAAGCTACTCTATTGAAATATACTTGTTTCGACATCAATTTCATTTAAAAAAGAATGAAGAGAAAAATCTTCTACTATTTTCAATTTTTTCAATTTTGATTTACATGGAACACTGGTTTCAAGCTCCCATCTCTTCATCTGTTCCTTACAATGACCTGACACTGATTAAGAAATTGTTTGATTAAGAAGAATATTTGACAAAGAAGTTGCTGAATCTGCCATAAAAGCCATTGCAGGATATTTATCATATTTAACTAAAGAACTTTAAGTCTTTCTTTTTTTTGTAATGATGTTGATAACCAAATTGAAGAAAAAATGTTGATTGTGGTTGAAAAGCCAGCTAAAAAAAAAACAGGCAAAAAGACTTGAAGGTAAAAGAATTATGGATACAATTGCAAGACTTCGGTTTTTTGTCACATGACCACGCGCAATTATAATATTTTAGAAAACGTGAACACGCCCGTTTGCAAGTTTCATAATAATGCTGAAAAAGTTTCAAAAACAAAAAAACAAAACTTTATTAATTTAAAACAAAAAAACAAAAAATTAATAATTTAAATAATTTGTGTACTGTTTTTATTTTTGTTTCTTTAGAGTTACATTCAGCAACAAAATTAGATAAGGCAAAGCAAAAAAAAAAGTTTGAAGTCTACAATAAAAAGAATGATTTTTCTTTTCTTAATTTATTTTTAAGAGGATAGCAAAAATACAAATTGCAATGTGTTTGTAAAATTTATTTGTATAATTTTTAATGTAACAGCAAGGGTTGAATTAAGCGAATGCAAAACGCAAAATCTGGAAAAGTATCTAATATTCAAAATTTTAGTTTATACAAAACCATGTTCCTTGTTTTTAAGGGGAAAATCAACTTAAATTTGTTAGCGAAAAAATAAAAAGTAAAACAATAAACTTAGGATTACAAAAGTAATAACACTATAGTCACTAACTGCATTACAAAAGTAATAAAACTATAATAGTGTTATTACTTTTATAACGCACTTATAACTCTTAAAGTTCATTATTTGTTCAAGCAACATTAGTATTCTTTTTTATAACGTTATTTAAGTGATATGTGAAAGTTCCTGAAATTTTTAATAATATTTAAATATCCGCTTTATTTTTTCCAGATGTTTTTCTACTTTAATAAATGTTTGGAATTAATGTTGTATGAACAAAGAATGAACTTTAAAAGTAATAAGTGCTTTATAAATGTAATAACACTATTATAGTTTTATTACTTTTATAATGCCGTTAGTGACTAAAGCGTTATTACTTTTGTAGTTGTAAGTTTATTGTTTTTGTTTTGTTTTTTGTAACTTTCTCGTTAGCAAACTTTTAATAATTTGCTCCTTATAAAAAAAGTACACAGCTTTGCATGAACTAAAATTTTAAAGACCTGCAAACTTTACCAGAGTTTGCAAATTGTGATCGTATAATTTAAGTCTTGATATAAACTTGTTACATTATAATTATACAAATATATTTTACAAACAGATGACGATACATATTTTCTCTTTCCTCTTTAAAAGAAAAAACACAAAAAATATGGGAAATGCAGTTATTAAATTTAAAACAATTTTTCAGTAACGCATATAATATAACTTGCACAAAAGGCTGTGATCATGTTCTCTAACTTGAAAAATGTTTTTGTGTCGTGCAAGACAAAAAACCGCACGCCTTTCCTGGGAAAGCTTGCAATTGTAAAAATGAACTTAAATGACTTTGTAACAAATAGATCAAAATATGTATTTGAAGTGCTTGGATTAAATTGGATATTTATGAAGGATCATTGCCTAGACACATGGAGTACTGTAACCGAATACCAGGAAGCATACAAAATTGTTAATTTTATGAAAGTTGTGAATGACACAGCCGAAAGAAGAGTGAAACTTGTTTCAGATTACATAAAAATCTTGACAAAAGATAATACTCAATTGCAAAGTTTTACAAACTGTGGAAGAACATCGAAGTCGAATTCCAGATATGTGAAAGTCCACAATTGTGAAGGCATTAATGAAAACAAGTGAACAATTTGTATCAAAATTTTATTAAAATAAACATTAAATTTGAATAAAAAAATTAAAACTTTGCATCCCAAAAAAATTAAAATACATTCGTTTTTATTTTCGTTGACCCTAAAATCTAATAATATCAAGTTCATTCAGCCCTTAGATATCAAAATATTATAATAATTTTTTGCGCATTTTATTTTTTAGTTAAAAGGAACACAATAAAGGGTTGAGAGCCCAACTTTGAACACTTTTTTTTTGTCACCCTAATATACATGTATATATATTAAGGGTAGTAAAAAAAGTAAACTTTTAAATCTAAAAAACCATTACATTAAATTTTGGGCAAATATATAAAAAACAAGCCTCAAAAAGTTTTTTGAGGCTCTTTTTTTTTTTTTACTATATATTTATATATATATAAAGGCCTATATTAAGTTTAAAAATATATAGTTTTTTTCCTACCCCTCAAAAATCTTTGTTTAATGGTATTAAAAATCATGAAAATTGGTAACACAGGTCAACAAAAATTTTTTTTTTTTTGGTGCCGAGCAAACAATTTATTTTTTGTATTGCATTTCTCATTTTGATTTCAAATATACAACTCAATTTTCACCATCACATCAAGTTGTAAAGATATTTGGGTTGAAATCTTTAGCATTTGTGGTAAAATCCTTAATATTGTCAACAAAAAAAAACTATTCAAAAGTATGTCAACTTGGATCTCAAAAAAAGCTTATTTTCATAGAAATTTTTAAAATGTTATTCGTTTGTAAATAAAAATAAGTACTTGTTGTATTATTGTTGAAAAACATTTGGTTAAAATTTTTTTAAGAGTCTTGAGCATTTTTTCACATAATATTTTTGTCAATAAATTTTAAGGAAAAATATTATGTTTTTTAAAATCTTTATGAAAATATGCTTCTTTTAACACCCAGGTTGACATACTTTTGAATAACTTTTTTTCAACAATATTAAGGAGTTTACCGAATTACTGAAGATTTGAACCCAAACATCTTTACAACTTGATATGATGAACTTGATATATATATATATATATATATATATATATATATATATATATATATATATATATATATATATATATATATATTTATATATATATATATATATATATATATATATATATATATATATATATACAGGGCAAATAGTTTTTTTTAAAATAAATGTTGACATTCGTTTCTTTATTTATTAACAAACATCAAATTAAGAGAAATGTCAAATAACAGGGCTGACAGCATGGGGGGTTGCACTTGTCCCTCCCCCCACATTTGCAAAGTGCGCGTAAATTGATGATAACTAATATGCTATTATCTATTAATAAAAAAATTCATAAAAAAACGTATAAACTTAAAGAAATTTAAATAAAAGGGAACTAAAAATAAAATAAGTTGTTTTGACATTTCTTTTTTAAAACATTTTAAAATAATAATATAATATTAGGTATTTAATAAGTTATTATATTAAGTTATTTCTAAATACATAATATGATATTATTATATTTATAACATTAAGTATTTAATAATAAAATATCATATTATTAGTGTTGTTAAATGCACAGTAAAAAATTAAAACTATAATAAACAACACTTCTATATATTCTATTAAATCATATATATATTTGTGCAAATCTTAAAAAAAAATTTCAAAAGTTACAAAAAGGGCAAGCAAACATTTAATTTAACGATAATAAGAAAATTAAAAAAAGCATGCTTTTGAAAAAAGCAATGTTTAAGCATGGTTTCTTTTAAAGTAATTGCAAATGCATTAATTTTAACTAAAATTCCCCATGCTTTTTTAAACACATGTAAAAACCATTCTAAAACATAATTACTTTTTTCAGTTGCGTGCTTAATTATTAAACTTAAAAGTAAGGCTATTGAAAGTATTTTATAGGTTTCTTTTAAAGTCGTTTTAAATTTTAGTAACTTTTTGTTTTTATATAATAAATATGTTTGTTTTTTTATAATAAATAAAAAATTATTAATGGCATAATTATTTGGAAAAAAGTTGCTGAACTTATGCATTCCTTTTCAAAAATTTTAAGCAAATGCCAACGTTTGCTTAAGTAATAGTAAAGAAATGTGATGTTTGTTTTTCTGTCTTTTTTTTTTTACAAACCTTCTCATGTTCGTCAATTTGTTGCGCCCTGTATATATAAATATATATATATATATATATCAGCGCTTGAAATAACGGCCGATCAATGATCAGCTATTTTTAGGGAAATTTCGAAAAATCCAAGGGAAAATAACCTGTTTTTGTGAAAAAATTACATTTGATCGGCAAGTTTTGAAAAACTATTTCGAGCACTGATATATATACACACACAAATTCAAACCTCATGTTTTAACTTTTAAACTTAAATTCATTTTATATTCTACCACATAAGAAGCATTTTGTTTTGAACAGCAAGAAAAACAATTCATATTTGTAAACTAAAAGTATACCAGCATCATAAAACTATAGTACAAAATTTAGTCTTTTTTTATTACAGGGGCTTCTCAAATTGGAGAGAAAAAAGATATTTTAGAAGATACTATAAGTCGAATGTCTGAATACGAACAGCTTCATATTGCAAACCAAATAAGTGTGAGTGATTTTTACATTTATTTTTGATCATTTTTATATCTCCATTCATTTAACTTCAAAATATAAAATTTACAATATATACAAATTTAAACCTTTGTGTTTATTACTTTTTTTAATTTTACTATTTTATTTAAAAACAAAATATTTTTGCAAATTTTCATTATTGATAAGTTTTTCAGTGCATATAAAGTCTAATAAAAATGACCGTTAAATATACATATTAAATGTAAATTAAATTTAAATCGAAGTCTCCTATATACCTGGTCTGTGCACTCGATGTAAAACCAGTTTTTAAAACAAAGTTTTAAAAGCTGGTTTTACATCGGGAAAGGAAAGGCGTTAATCTAAAAGTTTTATTACATATTAATTTAAATAAAAGTTTACAACCATGGTATGAAGATGCTGTGCTGATGAATTTAAATCTGGGTGTAATACAGATCCTGATCCGAAATCTGAAATCTACCATTTTTTTCCTGCTGATAGCAATTTTTGTGAGCAATGGCTGATGAGAATTCAAAGAGAAAATTTTGTTCCTTCAAAAATAGCTACGTTTGCTCCTTACACTTTATACAAATAGACTTAAAAAAATGCAAGCTTTTATTTTAACAGAAGTCGCAAGCAAATTGGTATGGAAAAAATTTTTGAAAGGAAGGTATCAAGACCTGAAGCTGTAACATCATACTAATGGTACAGCTTCAGGTCCATCTTTGCCAATTTTAGGTATAGTAACACCTATTTTTCTTCTCTCCTCATCTCGTTTAAACAGGGAAAATAATGTAATAATCAACGATTTAAAAAAATTTTCAATCTAAAGATGTTGTTAAAACATTTGAAGTGTTTACTAAAAAGGTTGCAAGCAAAATCTAAAATTTTTATCTTAATATTTTTGTTGCTAGTGGTATTGTAAGCAATTCTCTTCTTCAGTTAATTGAAACAGGAATAACTGCCAAATCATCTTTTATATATAAAAATTTGAACTTTGATGTTAACATAAATAACGAAACGAAGGAGCTAGCAACAACTGGAAGGTTTTTGGGTATTGTTGATGAAACAGAGGAGCTAGCAGCAACTGTTTTAGTATTTTTTATCACTTCAGTTGCTGGAAATTATATGGATACTGTTTTCCTTTTTTCTCTTTCTAAAATTATTGTTTCGACTTTAAAGAAATGTTTATTATCAGTTTCTGGAAATGCTTAGTATTATTGGATTTCATGTAATAATTACAAAAGGTGACAATCCTAATTTTTTTATGAATGAATCCTAATTAATTACATGAGTTAATCCTAATTAAAAATCCTAATAAGTTGACAGTCCTAATTTTTTCATGAATAAGTTGTGTTCAGGAAAATTAATCATCCAATATTAAAAAATGAGAAATTTTAATTGATCCTACTCACAACTTCAAAAATGTTTTAACAATTCGTAATATTATTTTTATTTGTAATATTCTATTCTATTCATATATATATATATATATATATATATATATATATATATATATATATATATATATATATATATATATATATATATATATATATATATATATATATATATATATATATATATATTATTTTTATTTTCTATTCATATACTTTCACCTTTACTTTAAAATTTATCACAAAATTTTATGTGATTTTAATTATATTGCTTGTTTAGTCTCTAAACGTTTCATTTCTGTAAAATAATTCGTCATGAAAACTTAGCTATTTCTAGCTTTTTAAATGATTTTCTGATTTCAATTGAATAAATTACAACAAAAATAAACTTGAAATAAAATTTTAGAGAAATTTCTAACCAGAAATAAGCCAGTGAAAAAACACTTTTTTCCACATTGCATCATAAGCTCTTGTTTTAATTTTTAAAATAAGATAACAATAAAAACAGTCATATATAACAAGAGATCAGTAATTGCCTAACCCATTAAATGTTTTAATTTCAACTTCTGGTTTCAAATATATCAATGCATATCTTAATGATATTTTACAAATTGTATGATATGAGAGTAAAAACCCCTATAAAGGGTTGGTGAGTTAGTGAAAGTTAATGGAACAATGAATGCAAATGGCTGTATCAAAATCCTTAAGGTCAGATATTTCAAGTCATTTTGAAAATGGGGCAGAACTGTACACAGCACAATGTTCATGCAAGACAACGACCCCAAACATAAGGCTAATAAGACCATTGAATTCCTTTACAAGAAGAAATCGAAAGGCGTTAACCCACTCCAATATTTATGAGAATAGTTGCCCATTAGAAAAGCTTTTCTTAGCAACTTTTCTATTAAAAAAATTTTTTTTCTTTGTTTAAACATGGTGACAATGTATGTATATATAGATAGAAAGCAAGCAATTCCACATTCATCACAGCGTGACTAGTTTCTTAATTTTTGTCTTAATCCCTCAATATTCTAATATTAAAATACATATACAGAGTTACATTTTTGCTATTTAGTTAGCTCATAATAGATACTGCTTAAAACAAGAAAAAAAAATTGGGTGGATATATTAGCCTCTCATTTATGTAAGAAAATATAAAAAGTCACAACGTGACTAAAATTTTCTCATAGTTTTTTCATTTTTAGATCAACACTTCAATTCAGCTAATATAAATAAGCTGGGTTGTCAACTTGGTATTAAATACAACTTGGTTTAGGAATTACTCTTATAAGTTTCATAGTTAAAAAACAATTTTTTAGTAAAGTTTTCATCAGACACACTTTTGATTAACTAGTAGTAAATGTTACAGCGTGATCAGATGCTTTTGGGTAACCAAGTTAATAGGTTATTTTTATTAAATTTAAAACTTAGCACAGAAATTTTAAAGATGTTTTAAAGATGCATCTTTATGATAACTTTGTAAAAAAAAGTTTTTACAAAGTTATCATAACACGTCCATAATATAATGCACTCATATTATTTTGTTATAAAATACATATATATGTATATCTATGCAATTTTTAAAA